TCATCTGCTCGTATCCCCAACATCTAGAATAGTGCCTGGTACTAGAAGGTGCTGAGTAAGTATCTGTCGAGTGAATCAACTGCATCTCCATGGGGCCCATATCCGCTTACAGTTCCCTGGTGATAACCTAACAAAAGTCAAGAAAGAAACTGCTAGTGGGGAACACGGATGAGAAGGCACTCCAGGGTGCAAAGACCCACCATGACTATACGTGTGTTTGACTGACAATACGCCCTCTGTTCATAAACATCAGGCATAAGAGAACGGCCCTGGGGTCAGACCGCCCTGTCTGAATCCTGGCACCACCCTTTGCCAGCTGCGACCCTGAGTACTTACCTGCCTTGGGTCTCACGTTCCACATCTACTCACAAAAAAGGGAGGTAGCAGTAGTTGGTATGCACTGCATAAGACGGTTGAAAGGATGAAATGAGCTAAGTACAGTCCTAGGACACAGAAGTACCTAATAAATATTAGTAATTATTTAGGGCTTTTTATTTTGCTATATACCCACAGTCATATCTCCAGGAAGAATACAGGGTTACAGGTTCACCTCTCCCCAGCAAAAGAAATAGCCTTAAACCAGGACAAGGCAATCGAATGGACTCTCTTCCCTGAGTGATAAATGAAAAAAAAAAAAAAAAAAAAAATCAGCTCTTAAGTCTGGATTTTTTTTTTTTTTTTTTAACCTTCTCAATCTTTATCTCTCTTCTTGTCTTTTCTTTCCATGTTTTCATAAAACTTCCCTTGAGCGCCTGTGAACCTGGCTTACACCCTGGCTCTGCTGGCTCTCAGGAGACAGTTCCTAACTCTGTTCTGCAATACTGCTGTGGCCCAGGAGGGCGTTTAACCCTGTGGGGCCACATCATCTAGGTTGTCTTTAAGGATTTTATTTGTTTTTTTAGAGAGGAGAGAGAGGGGGAGAGAGGGAGAGAAATACCGATATACAAGACAACATCTATAGGTTGCCTCTCGCTGCGCACCCCAAATGGGAACCAAACCTGCAACCCAGGTATGTGCCCTGACCTGGAACCAAATGAGCAACCCTTTGCTCTAGGACATGATGCCCAACCAAGTCCAACTGGTCAGGGTGCATCCAGATTATCTTTACATTCTCTTCAAAATCAAAAACTCCACAAATAAGAAATTGATAACTATTATTAGTGCATTCAAGTTGAACACTGATCTACTAAGAAATACATTTTAACTATATTTGGAATACTGCACAAATATGGTGCGAGTACAACAGACTCTAAAAGCTGAATTTTTCCTGGTCTTGGTTTCAGGGAACAAGCAAGTACCCTGCAGTTTTTATTCAACTTCCTTATCACGATGGAACAGACTTTTATTAAATCAGGACTTTGTCTTAGGACCACTTAAGGGTTGTTTACTTACAAACTTCTGGGTACTGACACTCACATTTCTAATCACTATAAATTACCAAACCAGTGCTTATAATTGCAAGGTTCCTGAGCAGAGAGCTGACAGTTTTGAAGAATCAGGATTATCACTCAGCACAAAAGAAGGTGATTAACTAGAAAAACATTGAACAACCGTATTACTTTCTTTGGTTCTTTCTGCTACCTAACATCTCCCCAAGACGTCGTATGTCTCTGTTGAGGGAATGGGTCAAATTAAAATGACAAGTTAACAATGACATGGAAAGACATTTTACAATATACATTTCTAGTAAAAAAGGCAGATTATAAAATAATCAGCAATAGCAATCCTATTTTTGTAAAAAAATATATGTAAACACCTACACACATCCAATAGGATATATTCCAAGTTGTTAATAAGCTTATTAGCCCTGGCTGGTGTGGCTCAGTGGATTGAATGCTGGCCTACAAACCAAAACGTTGGCGGTTCGATTCCTGGTCACGGCACAGGCCTGGGTTGTGGGCCAGGTCCCCAGTTAGGGGCGCGTGAAAGGCAACTGATAGATGCTTCTCTCACACATTGATGTTTCTCTCCCTCTCTTTCTCTCTCCCTTCCCCTCTAAAAATAAATATTTTTTTTAGAAAATAAGCTTACTGACTTTTCTGTAAAATATTTGTTTGCATATCTATATTTTCTTATTTTTGTACAATGAACACTTACACCTCCTGAAATAATTCAAACAGCTGTTTTATCTAACAAGAAAATGGGTGTGGCACACAAACTATCAACAGATGTCTCCCTGAAGCAGAGCTCAGCGCCCGGAGTTCCCAGACACAGAGGCCCTGGGGCTAAGCCCGGGATGGGGTGCTGAGATGTTTGAGGTTCCAGCCATCAAGTGCCACCCAGATAGGTCCGGATCTCTCTCCCATGTTCACCTCAGCCTCCAGAGCCACCGCCTTCCCACTTACAAACTTCACCAACGTGCAACCCTCTGGACAGAACTTACGAAACTGACCAAAGGTCCTCAATTACAGTTCAGGATTTTAACTTGCGCAGTCATTGATTTAAGAGGCTCAATTACAGAAGAGCCCAAGTTACTCTGGCAGAGATCCAATTTTAAAAGTTGGAACTAACTACTACCCCTCATTTAGGTTGTCCAATGCCAATCGTTTCTGATCACAAGAACAAAAAATAAGCCGTGATGTTTAAAAGTGTCATCTTCAACTCAAATACGTTACCCAGTGAAACACTTCTGTTTTTAACACAAAGCGCTGACTTCTGGTAGATTCTCTGGCACATCAAAGGCGCCACCGCTGAACCTCCCAAGATCTGACTGGCCAAGAACAAGTTCATCACTAGGCACAGGTATCATTATATCATAAGACATGAAGGTTGTCTTAGAAGCTCAGTGACCTACCAGCAAAAAGGTGTGTCGAAAAACTGTGCTTTCCCAGCTAACAAAAGCAAAGTGCATACAAAGAAGTGATAGGAAGACATACATCAAAGGCAGTAAAGATGAAGGCAACACAAGAGAGAGGAGCAGAAACAGCAGAACGGCAGTCTTCAGAAGGGCATTCTGAGGAACAACTCCTGCTGAGCCAGCAAGAGTGTCACCAGAGCCAGTGCCCTGAGAGGCACATAAGCGGAGCCCCCAAGCTGCTCACATGCATTTCCAATAATGCGGTATCTAGCAAGAGCTACACACATACCTAAACACCAATTGCCGTCTCAGCCCCTCATTCACTTATCTTTTAAACACCATCCACAATTCACGTCAGAGCCTTGTCCTCAGATTACAGCAAAGAAACAGAGTCTACACAGCACTATTCTACTGCAAGAAAACAAAACAGCCAGCTATAAGGATCTGAAAAATGTGACCACTTCAGGCTTACTGTGGTTCTAAACCACTCCTCTACTCTAATTATCCCTCAAAAGAACTGTAACAGGCGCTCCGGGCAAAGAGGGAAAACAAGTCTAATTACAACATGTGTACTTGGTGGATGAAAAATGTGAACATTCTTGAACTCTGGCCACATTTCAGAAGACTTTCCACTTGCAGTTTAACCTCACTGAAAAGGAAAGGTTAAAGATCAGTTGTACTTCAACCAGGGTTCTACCAAAAAAGATACAAAGGGAAATTAACTGGCTGCAGTATTGTCCAATATACTAAAAGGGAAGCCAACTGAAAATTCAAAATGACCCTGACTCCTTATCAAGCATTTACAGAGGAAGAGGAAGTGGTTTTTATTTTATTTTAAAATTAGGACTAACAATAAGACCATTCTGAGAGCACTCTCCACTGGAAAAAACACACATTTTAAATTTGGAAGATACACACACGGGGTCTGACAGACACATTTCCGGACCAAAACCCCTGATCCACAGCCCACCTGCCTGTTCTTTACTGAGATGGGAAGACGGCTGAAGACACAGTTTAGTGGTGCTTCCGCACATTGCTAATGAAGTGCTGGAGAGAGGAGCAGAGAACAACTTCAGGAATCCCAAATGAGAACGTGTCTAATTAGGCATCTGGATTGGGAGCTATCAATCAAGAAGCCCTCAGCCTGGCCTACAAGCTGTAATCTCTCCAACCTCCTCTCCTATGACTGTCCCCCTCAGTCACTGGCCTGGCTTCTTTGATGCTCCTCCAACACCCCAGACTCTTTCCTCTACCGGCACTACTGTCCCCTCAGATCCCAAGCATCCTTCAAGTCTTTGCTCAAATGCCATCTTTGCAAGTAGAAGAAAGGTGACACTTTTCCCCCCATGATACTTAGCACCTTCCAATATACATATAATTCACTTATATCTATTTTATCTATTGTTTACTTCTCCCCCCCGCAACCTATCTATCTTAAAGAAGCTCCACGAGAGCACAGATACTTGTTTTGTTCACTGATGTATATCCCAAGCATTTAGAACAGTGCCTGACACAGAGTGGGAACTCAAAAAATATTTCCTGAATGAATGAATGAACTTGACAGTAAAAATCCTGGAGGAAAGCAAGTGGGGGGTAGAAAGAATAACGGTGAGTGGGTGAAATGAAAGGAAAGCGACAAAGGGGAATTAACAAGAGAGAGGTAAAGGCTGGCTGAGGCGGGGGCGACCCAGAGTTGCTCCCCGCAGTGCAAATGGGAGGGGACAGAGGGTGCACAGTATCCCACCAGCGGCATCAAATAGCACTCTTAGAAACAGGCAGCTGAGACAGGAAAGCTCTGAAGATTCACGAAAAATTCCAAGGACAGAGAAGACCCACCAGAGAGGCAGATCCTGGGCAGGCCCCACTGGCTCTGGACCACCCAACCCTTCCCCTTCCGCACTGCCCAGAACCCCGGCTCCTCTACAGTGTACCCAGGGGCGTCCCGGGCCGCAGAACCTTCCGGGCTCGTGCCTCTTCACCTGGTCAACAGAAGCCTGGCCCTGCGCTCGGGCACCTGTCTCCCCGCGCCGGCGGTCCCCACTCTCACCCACCGGAGGCCCCAAGAACGCCTCTACGGACGTCACCCCTCCCGGTTCCCCTCCTGCACACACCCGCCGCCTTCTCCGCTGAGAAGAAGGGGCTCCCGGCGCCCCTCGCCCGGGCCGCTGAAGCCGGACGCCGAGGCTGCGCGGCACCCCCTTACCTCGGGGCGCACATACGACACGAAGGAGGGTTTCAGCGCCTTGGTGCCGCCGCCACCGCCGACTACCGCTTTCCCCAGCATACCACCACCCTGGGAAGCAGCGACGCGCCGGAACAGAGGTGGCCGCTCGGACTACGGCAGCGGCGGCGGCCACCAGCACAAGCGGCCGGGGCTCCGCCCATCCCCAGGACCGAGACGGCGGCGGCACCGCCCGCATCCGGCTCCGCCGCTTACACTGTTCGCTCCGCCCACTCCTCGCGCGTTGGAAGACTGTGGCCGGAGGCCACGCCCCCTCCACTCGCGACAGGCGAGTTTGACTGCCGGAGATTCGCTGTCTGAGATAGGCTCTATTTCACCCTCCTGCGGCAAAGCCCGCCCCCCTGCATTCTCTGATTGGCCATGCCCCTTCTTGAATGAACCTGGAGAGATGTTTTCTTTGCCAATCTAGAGAGCGTTTCCTCCGGACTCCTCGGCGATTGGATAGCAAGAATATCGCCGTCGTCCAATGATCCTGCGGTAACTAAGTTATGAGCAGTGGTACCAGGCGGTTGTTCTTTCCTTGTCGTTTTGGAATAAAACTTCCCAAAAGTGTGATATGCTGAATATCCCCCAGTGAGTTCCAAACCCACATTAATAACATTCAGGTTCATTTTAAATGTAGAAAAATACGAGATAAACCAAGTGTTAACAGGCACTTAGTAATAGGTTTGATGTTTGATTATGAAGGGCCTTGTCGATCTCATTTTCCAAGCTTCAGTTTGTGTTTCTGACAATATCAAAATCCCTTAAGAGGCTTCTCTTACCCACTCTCCTAGGTTATAGATAAAGCCCTCATTGTTAGTGAAGATTGCAAAGAAAATTGATTTAAATAACACATTTGGCCCAAGCATTGTTAGATACAGATGAATAATACAGGACACAGCTTTCAAGAAATCCAGTCTTGTGGAAAACACCAATAAGTATTTGCAGTTAATTTTTTCTGTGTCAGGGACTAATGCTCTTGCTTTTCTCATTCCCATGAGTTTCCCCCCTTACTCCTCCTCCCAAGCAACTCCAAATAAGCATGCAGTCTAAGTGATAAAGGATGAACTTAACTTCGCAAACAGACTTTCAGGGAAAGTCCTGTAGCCTTGTTACCGGACCTTGAATGCCCGATTCTTGAGTCTCAATGTCACTGGACTCAATGAGCACTGGATTCAGTACAAGATCAAGCAGATCGTTTATTGTGGACAGCTTGTATAAGGTCCTTGAGGTGGGTGTATGGCTTGTGAATGAGGATGAGGCAGGCAAATCATCATCTGGCGGCCATTGATCCTGGGTAGTCACAAGATGTTTTCCAAGGTCAATGGACCATCCAAAGGGCCTGTAAAATAATGTTTGTGCAAATAATCTAGTTATCATTTAATTGACAAAGCAACTACATTGCAGAACATGATGTTAAGAAAAGATGTTGTCGTATATTCTTTCCTTTAAGGATGTGGTTAGGTTAATTTTAACTGTGGGATTTCGTTGAAAGCAAGGAGTCATAGGCCTCTAAGATGGAGTTCTTTCCATTAAGATGGAGTCCTGTGCTACCCCTACGCTGTCTCGGCCTCAATTCCAACTACCTTGCCATTGTTAAGCCTATCCAGTTTTCACCACTGCAGCCACCTCTGAGCTGCATTACCTCTTTTTCAAATGAGAAAACAGATGCAAGTAATTTGCCCAGGTCGCACAGATAGTCACTGACAGAGCTGGATTCCAACCCAGATTTTGTTGATACCAAAGCCCATGTTTTTTGGGTTTTTGTTGGTTGCTGTTTTGTTTTTTTTTTAAGATTTTATTTATTTATTTATAGTGAGGGAATGGGAGGGAGAAAGAGATATATCAATGTGTGGTTGCTTCTCACACACCCCCTACCAGAGGCCTGGCCCAAAACCAGGCAGGTATCTTAAACTGGGAGTTGAACTGGCGACCTTTTGATTTGCAGGCCGGCAGTCAGTCCACTGAGCCACACCAGCCAAGGCCAAAGCCCATGTTCTTAACATTATAATTATACAAATTAGGAAGGAGCACAATCAAAGTGTCAATCCTGTGTGTGAAGCCCAAGTCAAGTTTCATAAAGAAAGACACTCCTTATGAGGGTGTTGAAGAATCAAGTTATTTGTCAGGACTAATATCCCATTTTATACTTCACAACAGTTTTCGGTTTTCATTGTGAAATGGCAAGGCAGATTTTTATACCCCGAGCAAATGTTTGCTTCCTTTCCAAAGGACTTTGTGGTCCCATGATCTCCCATCATAGTCAGTATGTCAGTGTGGGCGCCTATGGCCCAGACTGGCTTCTTGGACAGGAAACTAGTTCACGCAGGGCCCACACTTAGAAGGGCTTGGTGTTCAATGTTCTGTGGTTGCAGCCTTGACATTCTGAATCATTTTACCTTGAATTTGTAATTTTTCGAGTGAAGTGTTACGGGACAAGCCTGGGAGCAAGCCTGGGGTCTTGGAGCTTTGGCTCCTACAAAGTGCCACTTCCTATCCTTTCCCCACCTCCTCGCAGGTGCCCACCGTGCCCTGGCACCCTGGTCCTCCCCAGCCAGACCTAGGCTGCCGCCAGCCTCCGTGAGGGCAGCAGCCAGGCCTTATTGCCCGGAAGGGATGAGGGACGAGTCTCATGTTCTGCTCGCGCCATCCACCCCGTGCCCGCATGATGCCTGGGCATCGACTGGGAGATGATCAGCGTCAGGTACAGTCCGCCAACTCATTCCTGTGTCTCTGAGTGAGATAATCAGCCACCCCTGCCGTGGGCTGACAGCACCATGACGACTGGCCGGAGCCTGTCCCCTCCGCCCCCATTCAGACACTTGGTGTGGCCAGGCACCTAGGCTCCAATCCCTTCGGGGTCACCCATACCCTGTGGGGAGGGAATTGACTTTCCTGCCCTGGGACAGGATCCCACATTTTTATTTTGCGCTGGACCCCGCAAATCATAGGGCCGGCCTTGCCTACACCTTTTGTCTGTGTCCTTGGGCAAGTCACTTCACCTCTCTGTGTCTCTATTTCTATGTAGGATGATAGAAGCAACAATAATAATTACCTTGTGGTTGATGACGGTTTTGAAGATTAAATGAGGTATCCACGTGATGCCTCGTAGGCAGCAAGAATTAAGTAGGCGCTGGCTGTCTTTAGCACAATCCTACCAAGCAGGACATAATTTACTCCTTGTCCCAGACTGTAGAAAGAGAAGCAAAATGACTTCTCCTAATAATCAGTTTTGGGACTTTGTTAAACAAAGAGGTTTTGTTTGCTTGTTTCGTTTTTAACTTCTACCCCAATCCTTGGACTAGGGATAATGGCTTTTATTTCTAATCCATCATACCAACTTCCCTTCCCTTCAAACCATCATGCCTTATAATAATGACTTTATCTTGCTCTTCAGCATCCAGTTGGTTTGCAATGTCATGAATCTGGAAACTTCACAATACCACTGCATGTATACACGCTCAGAAAACTATAGCCAACAAGTGAAGAAAGTTCTTTTAATTTGTATTTATTGATTTTAGAGAGAAAGGGAGGGAGAAAGAGAGAAATATTACTTTGTTGTTCCACTTATTTATGTACTCATTGGTTGATTCTTGTATGTGCCCTCACTGGGGATCGAACCTGCAACCTTGGTGTATGGGAATGAGGCTCTAACCAAGTGAGCTACCCATCCACGGCAGAGGAAAGGTTTTAAAGCCTGAAAGATCAGCTGCTTCCAGGGGCAGTTTTGACTCAGTCATAAAAACCTGTACCTTCTTCCTTAAGAAGAGAATGAGGACAGAGAATAAACTAACATCTGTCTCCATCTTGTTGTTAAGTTCTCCAGCTATCAGCATATTTTTACTTAATATTTAGGGTGCTGGTCAAATCTCCTTGGGAGAGTCTCTCCAGACTGAAAAATTCCTGTCGTGTTGAGATCAAATAATTCTCCATCTATTAATAAACACAGATGGTAGCCCTCTGACTTTGAAACATTTTAATTTATGCACAATAGTTTAAGGGCACTCTTTTCTCCTAATGCTGTCCTAAGCTTTCTTGGAGAACTATAAATAGGAACGAGTCGACCCTTAGTTCTTAGCTAGCATACAATGCGAGCCGGAGCAGAGGCAGCATGCTTCTTCCCACAGCACGTTCCCGGAGTGGGGGAACATTCTTCTGACAGACCATTAAGCCCCGCCTTTCCCATTTCCTCCTATGTGGAGTCACATGAAGCAGCCTACTTGTATGTTAGTCCTCTTTGTCTAACAGGTGCCAGGTGCATAGTAGAAATTCAACAAGTATTTGCACCTCAGTGAGCGAAATGGTATTAGTTGAAAAGCAGCCTGGGAAGTGATTGATTAGTAAACAGGGGAAGCAAGAGTTCAAACTCTGGCATCCAGGCTGGAGCCTGCACTTCTAAATCCCTTGGATACAAACTAGGACCTGATTTTTAAATAAATAAATAAAAACGATATATTATTCTATATAACATATTATATACAAGAGATTTATCTATGATATGCGATAGATTCTTGTTTATTATCATAAGTAAATATATTATATAGTATATAGATATAAAACTTATATATCACATGTTATTTACATATGATATATGTATATAAGATAGTCAAGGACTAAAGTACATGTGTTAGTTATTGGCCACACGCGAAACTTCAATTTTAGCCCGTGGTCCCGATGGGAGGACTTGCCCTCTTCTTTCACTGGAAGCAGAAAGTTCCTTGGCCTCTTGCTGCATCCATGGGTCTTTCAGCCCCCCTTTGGAGATGATGAGGAACAAACCTGAATTAAGAAGCATTTGGATTGGTGTCAGTCTTGTGGTACCATAATATGAGGACCTGCTGGGGAGACTCACCAGTTATAAACAAGGACTCCCTGGTGATTTTTCCCTTTGCAAAACACACAATGTAAGTTGGTCACAGGGTAGGGGGCTTAATGAGCCTACTCTATATAATCTGGATTCCGTCTTCTTCAAAGCACAAGTTCATGGCCTGATAGATTTATCTATTAAATAAAGGTTTACCGATGGTCTGTTTGACTCCCCTCTCAGCGTCCCTCAGGAAGACTGGAAGTTCTGAGAGTAGGGCTGGTCGGTCTCCCCTATAACGAGCCGCCCCCCGCCCCCGCCCCACCCCGGCCCCCATGCATTAGCACTACAATATTAAGTGAGCCCTTAATGAGG